GTGATTGAGGTCCACTTGTATGAGGACAAGGGACAGAAGTTTACGCTCAGTTCCACTGGTTGAAATCAAATGCACAAAACAGTGGTTTCTGATCCAACGCTCCAGGCAGTGGACATCAGTTTTATTGTGGCACTTCCAGTACCAAGTATATTTCTTCTGGATGAAAAATCTGTTGGACAATTCTGTATTTGATAACCATACATTTCAGTCATCCAGTCAATTTAGTACCCAAGCACTCTAAACTGGTTATTTGACTGTGACGATTGGTCAATATAGTCAAGATGGCTGACCCAGTTATGCTAAGACCTGATCCCACTTCCTGCCTCCTCTGTTGACCAATTTTTGCCCTCACTCTGATTCTGTTTATCTCACTTTCTCTCATTCACCTAGGTTATCCTCAGTGTCTTCTTATGTGTGTTTTTCTGTGACTTTTTCTCTCTGCACCTCTATTTCTACTTCTCTACTTCTCTCCTGGTCTTTCTTACCACCTTTCTCAGCTCCTGTTTTGTCTCTCTCCCCTAATTCATCAAAGAGAACAGAACGATATACTTTTATGTATTTGCATTTTTATATTTATTTATTGAACAGTTTTGTGTTTTCTGCTTCATACAAAAGTAGACAGGTGGGTGGGCTGTTTTCTATTCATCTGGAAAACAAATCTGTTGTGGTTTTCATTTATATAACCCTTGTTTGGTTTCTATCGTTGCCTCCCCAAAACTCAGAAATCAGGGTCAGCAACAAAAGTCCCACCCCAGGGCTCCTAGCTTAGGGCAAGAGAGGATCTGTGGTGTTGCCTGATGCGTGGGAGAGGGAGAGCAGCATGATGGGGGAGCATGCAGGGGTGTGGGTGCAATCTGGGCATATGGAATGGAGACCCCAGGTAGCAACCACCCACTCACGCGGCACCAGGTCTCTCCACCACCGAGCTCTGCCACTCTCCAACCTCTGCCTCGACCCTCCCCAAGTGTATGAAGCCCCCAGAACCTCAGCTCACCCGGCATCTGACCCCTCCCACACCTTTTCTCCGCAGATCCCTCTGTCTGGCATGCCTTGGCCACCCCCGGCTCTGTTCACCTGGTGGACACCTACCCATTGCTGAAGTCCTCCCTGATCCACGGAACCAGCTAGAATGGACTCCTCCTTCGTGCCCCACTGTGATCAGAGGCAGGGTCTCAGTCATCCTGGCTTCCCTAGTGCCCAGCACAGTGCCTGGCACATAATAGGTATTCAATCAACATATGTTGGAAAAATCAAGAGTATCAAATCTTGTGTCTCACACTCTATCAGGATAACAAAGTGGGCAAACTTGGCCCTAATGCTCAAGTTCCCACCCAACCCCCACACATTCCCTTCCCTAGATGTGCTCACTTGCTGATAGTCCTGCCCCTGCATATCCACATCCCCCCACTCTCCAGGACTCCCTCTGCCATGAAACCTTCCATGATTTCCCACTCCCAGGAGGAAGAAACCTATCCTTCAACTGAGTTCCCAACTGCCTGATCTGTTGTTACTGTATTTGGGCTTCTCTTATGGCTGTTTCAGCATCCCCATGTTAGGTATACACATGATTGTCACCCCCACAACCCACACATTGAGCCAGCCCCCCGAGGGAGGAACTTCCAAAATGACCTTTGATTGAATGAACAAGGGAAGCCATCTCTGCCATCCCTTGGGAGGAGAAAGAGCTAGAACCGACAGCCCTGCCGGTTGACAGAGGGGATAGAGAGTCAGAACCTGGCCTCCCAGCGTGGCAGGCAGTGCTGGGTGCCGGCGGTTGCTCCTGCCAGCAACATAGGGTCAAAGTGTTACACTACCTTGTTGGCCAGTGCGTCTCCCGGTCCATCTTCGCTTTCCCAACACTTTAGTTCTGACTGCTTGCAATTAGTATCTGAGAGGCAATCTACAAGAGTCAAGCTGCGTTATGGAGAACCCAGGCAAACTGCAGGGCGCAGGGCCTCTCATGGAGAGCGGCTCAAGTGGCAAAGGTTGGCTCCTTCACCTACTCATCTGGGCCTCACCAAGGAAATAAGATCAAGAAAGTGGTGTTCGTCTTTAGCATTTATTTATACGTGGAAAAACTGTTTGTTTGTTTGTTTTTCTAAGCAAGCACAGACCACAGGCACGTCACAATCAATTGGCTATACATGAATATTTTTGTCATTCTCTTACTAACAGCAGGAATGAAATAGCACCAAGAGAGGTGTGCGCTACACGTTACATAGACAATCTGTGGTATGCAACAAAACCCAGGCCACAAAATCGTAATTAGACACTTCCTGTCTGCCTGGGGGAGGCAAAGCTGTGAGGACTGGATGGGAGCATGGGCAGGGACGGGTTGCTGAGGGGGCCACTGCACAGTTCTGGGGGCTGCTTTTACAGGCAGGAGGGGACAGGCAGCAGGAAAGCTTCAGCCTCAGCACCCCTCCTCCTGTCAGGGAGGACAGGAGCCACGGGGAATGTCCAGAAACAAGCAAGACAGGTTGGAAGCCTGATCACCTTCAGGAAGGCAACATCCAAACACTGCTTATGGAACCCAGATCAGTTTCATTCTGTATGTTTGGGATACAGAACAAGACTGGCTGAGTTTGATTTGTAAACAGTAGAAATCAAAGGAAGTTTCTTGCCAGTGAAGTCACACATTCAAGAGTCAACGTGAACTACAAAGAGGGTTTTTTCAGGGGGTGTGTTAAAAAGAAGGGGATACTGACAGGTAGAAAAAGGCATTATACAGGTCATCTGAAGCCTGAGGCGGCAGGGTAGGAAACTTAGTCCCTGGGGCTTTGAAGGGTCCCCGGGGTAGAAACTCAGTCCCTGGGGTAGAAAAGCCTGTGGGGCCTCCTTGGCAAAAACCACGATCTGGGCAGCACCAATTTGACTCTGTCGCAGGGATCAAGCCATGTGCTGCCTCTGGTCGTATGGCTGTGGAGACAGGTTTATTTCTACTGCCACGAAGTCTAGCGCACAGTGCCTGGCACACAGGCATTCAATAAGTGAACGTTGAATGAGTGACCCCTGTGTGTTGTAAACTCTGATTTTACTTGATCTGCAAAAATAAATGATCATTCTACAGAGAAATCCAGACTGTAGTGAACATCAATATGTCTGACTAGTGCGCCATCTTGAGAGAATGAACATACATCGGCAAATTCTCTGGAGGCAGTTAAGATCATGTTGACAGAGTTCTCTGGTAATCGTTAAGATTCACTAGCAACTAGGTGGAAACAGCACTGAGATCTTCTCTAGTCATTTCCAGACAGGCAGTCAACATTGGTGACTCATAAACACTGAGACTTGCTCGCATTTTTCTACCTTCTTCCAAACGTCTCCTTCCTCACAGTTTCATGCCCTGAGATAGAAAGGAAGGCGGCAGTGGGCCTGACCAAGGATCTCATTTCTAGTGTTCCTGCTCTGCTAATAATGACGCCTCACATAGCACGTGCTGAGTTCATTTGTAAAAGACTTCTTAGCCCCAAGGTGACAGACCCAATGGTCAGAATAAGAGAGAGCTTGTGGAGATTCCACTTCCTCCACTCCAGAAGGACCTCAAGGGACTTTTGAGGTGAGGAACTGTGAGGCCATCACCCCTCGCCACTTCCATTACAAAAGAAAAGCCAGCCTGGACAGAAGCTCGACTCTGAACAGCAGCCCAGCGACTTCAGAATGCTGGGGCCACAAGGGTTTTAAGGACAGGAGAAATAAAGCGTGCTGAGTCACAGATACATCACATTTGCAAAGAGAGTTCTTCTGGTAGGTATTTTGGGTCCCTCACAAGCACGGGGGTCTTTTCACAACAACTCCCTGACTAATTCCTACAACACAACTCTAGCACAGCTAAGGTGGCACTTGCCACTCGTGAGGGCTTTGGCCACATAGACACGTGACACAGAACACACTGAAAGCTGCTTTTTAAATATAAACGACGTTAAAGATGCTTGCTAATCACTTAGCAGGGCACTCTCCTAGTCTTCAGCAAAGTCACAGAAATCCCCCCTGATATGAAGCCCAGCATGCCATCCTCACCGAGGAGCAGAGCCTGAGCAGTTCAGGAAGGGAGGGTGAGCTTTACCATATACACCGCTACATCCACGCCCCCTCGGGTTTCTCAGAAACGAAAGTCACATTCCAAATACACTATCCCTACACCTTGAACTTTCTTCCTCAGGCACCTTGAACCAGTTGCTCTGTGACACTGGCAGCACTGGACAGGCTGAGGGCAGAGGGAGGACTCCTCCTCGTTTTTGTGATCTTCCTATGCCATCTAGAATGTACCTAAAACGCCTCACCTTGTTACCACCTGGCCAAGTTTTATTTATCAGTGGTACACCTATTACTTGGCATACAATTTAAAGCCCACTGACAGGAAACTAAGCATAGGTACACGTTTCTAACAGAAGATTCTATGAAAAGGTTATTTAAACTCAACAGACCCAACTCCATTTTATTGATATTAAGGCCGAGGTTGTTTTTTGTTTTTGTTTTGTTCTTCCTACAAGTTTTGTCCATTGCTGAACTCAAGCTGGGCTCTCTGTAGCACATGATAATTTTCTCAATTTTGGAAAAGAACACATTTACCTAAAGTTCAAAATTGCCCAGTGACACAAAGCTTGGAGAAGAGTAGGAGGAGAAGATCCTGCAGACATCTCCAAGCACCACCAGATCTGGCTGGCAGTCAGCTCGGAATAACCTCCTAGGAGGCCTGCCTGCCTTCCTCATCAGCATGCACTCTAACTGACAGGGAGGGCACAGCCAGTAGGGCAAAGCTTCCCGGTGTTCCAGGGGCCAGTGGCTGGATGCCTGGGCTTCCCTCAGAGGAGGTATGCCACTGTCTTTGAAGCAGGATTACTCCACGAAAAGAAACCAAAGCAAAGAGCTCCTGGAACACTCAGGAATGACCAAGGCAGATGAGAAGCCTCTAATTAATTTTGTGGCCTTTTTTTGTTTGATGATTTAAAAAAAGGGGGGGAGGGGGAAGAGTAAAAGGAAAGTGCAGTGAAATTTACTCTTTAGCCTCAGCCAGTTTATTGTTCATCTCCTTGCTTTGTTCTTTGTCGTCAGGCTTGGCGGTACCGGGGGCCTCTGCGCTCTTTTTCTTGGCGGCCTGGCCTGATACCACCTGCTTGTCTTTGGCCTTCCTCGGGGGCTTATGGCTCGCTGAGGTCTTTTTTGGTTTGGAACTGTGAACACTAGGCTTCTCCACCTGCATGGAGAGACAAACAGACACACCGCAAATGCAGAAACACAGGGGGAGGGAGAGGAAGAGAGAATTTAGACAGAAGACATTATTAGTGAAGGAATAATGGCACTGATAGTTTGGCACTGACAGAGCACAGTGTGCAAGGCATCTCTGGTGACCCAAGAGCATCTGCCTTCTCCTGTCTGAACTCCCTGGCCTGTCACTTTGGCAACACTCACTGGCCCCGTCAGCTCCCTTCTCCGGCCAGCCTCCCTCTGGGCTGCCCCAGGCGGTGGGCTACACAGCTATCCTGCAGTATCTGACGTCTCTCCCTGTGGGAAGGTTATGCCACATCCGCTTGTTCAACTCAGCCATGGGCATATGATTTGCTTTAGTCAATGAAATGTGAGGAGTGAAGAGGTCACCTCCCAGCAGGAGACTCAAGAGGCAGCCTGGACATCCTCTTCTTCTGCCACAGAGAGGGGTGCTCCACCACCTTGAGTCCTGGACTGAGAGGGCAACGAGAAGCACCACTGCGGTTGCACACGGAGGGCATGTATTAGCAGAAAACAAGCCTCTGTTGATGTAGAATGCGGAGGTTCTGGGGTGCATATCACTACAGCGCACGATGGCCTTTTCCTGTCTCGGTCTCCAGAATGGTGTGATCAGATGGGAAGTGTCCTCACTGAGACACTGTGGGCAGGAGGCCTTTGGTCTCAGCAAACCCCCAGGCACTGCCACCCCTCTGCTCTTCCTCTTGGCAGTTCCAAGCCCATGCACTCCCCCAAGCTCCTTTCTCCAGCTCTGCCTCGCTCATTCGGAGGAGATGCCTCGCCTTCGCTTTCTCAGAGGACTCTGGAGCCACTGGGCATACCACCCTCTCCCTCCCATCTCTAGAGTTAATCTCCCCTGTCTTCCCTCCTTCTTCCCCTCCCATCTTGTTTCCAGTGCCAACCCTATGCCCTGAATCTCGCCTCATCTGTGGGAGGACAGAGCTGATGCTGGGCCTTACAGACTGGACATTCACTCACTGAGGTCCAGTGGTTTTCAGTCGCCCCTGACCTGTAAGGAAGGTAACCAATCATCCTGGTTTGCCTGGAACTGAGAGGCTTCCTGGGACATGGAACTTTTGGTGCTAAAACAGAAGAGCTCCAGGCAAACTGGGTCGGTGAGTTACCTTACCCATAAGCAAGTCCTGGGCCAAATAGAAAACTCCACTGGAGCACAAGACTTCAGGATAAAAGCAGAGAAAGGGCTAATTAGGTTCCAGAGCTATTTAGACTCTTGGATACTTTCTCCTATTATACAGAAGAGAGTGGTATTTGCACAGTTCCACAGGGCCTGGGATCATAGAATAAGCTAGGCTGCTTGGCGTGCGTGGCTCGCGACTCACCAGCATGCTTCTGCCTCTCGTGAACACTAACAAGATGCAAATAAGGCAGGCTAGTGTTATTGCAGGAAAATCCGAGTCCACTTTTGCATGCTGTTTGTTTTAGTGGCAGATGACTGAGAACACACCTTGCAGCTGATGCGGCAGGTATACTGTGACAATCTGAGAGTGGCTGGTGGATGGTGTTTATCCAGGGAAGACAGGAGGGCAGGCACTTTTCAGGGACTGGGGAGGGAAGAAAGGGTCCAGCGATTGGAGATGAAGATGAGCCAGGGCCATGGCCAAGGGAAGGAAGCCCTCCAGGGGGCCTGCACTCCTGGGTCAGCCCCTCAGGGGCCAAAGCACAGCTATTTTAAGACAAGGGGATTTAGGGCTCAGGTGGGATTTTCTGCCATTGTTTATCTGGATTTCTCAAAATCAGAAGCTAGTTCTCTGGAAAACTGCCAGCTTTAAAGCTGTTTTGCTTTTAGGTATTTTTAGCATTCCCTTTTAATTTAGTAAAGGTTTCCACTGAAGATGCCCCTGGGTGTCAGCATGCTACAGGGGAACCAGGGATTTTAAAAGACCCTGTGGAGGCGGGGCCAGAGCTGGCAGTAGACTACCCCCCATACCTTGCTGCAGTTAACCCTTCCAGTCCAGACTGTCTGGTGGGTTCCCACAAGATCTGTCTCACCTTTGAGGGTTCCTTGAAAGGTTCGCTGTAGAGGCTGCGTATTCTCCTGCGATCAATGACCTTGTTGTCAGCTGCTGTTGGCTTGTTGGCCTCTCCTTTGAACTGGGCACTGTAGCTGGTTTCATGTACCATCTTATCATCTGGGGGCCTGTACTGGGGCTTGGCTTTTATTGGCTTCACAGGCTTGATATCTGTCCATGCTCTGAATTCATTCCTGTTATTCAAAGAAAGCACAAGTGATATGAGACACCCTTTGTCTGGAAGCAGCGCTCCTAACATAGGGCTGCACTCAGCTAGCTCTCAACCAGTGGTTGTGGCGCTGGCCGAAGTGTGGCTGGAGGGTTAGTGTCACTATCTCATTGTGAAAAGTACGAGCTTTCCTTCTTGTGAAGTTGACCTCCACTGTGGCACAAGCAGTCGTACATTAGAGAAAGAGCTCAGGCTCCCAGCTCCACACTGTGTGGCCATGGGCAGGCAATTATAATCCTCAGACTTTGTTTCCCCAATCTCTAAATAAGGCTGAAAAAACCTAATCCATTCAGTCATTCATGAGTTCAACAATTATTGAATGCCTGCTATGTGTTCAGTTTAAGAAAAGTTGTGGAATTCAATGCGAAAACACATTAGGTATACTATCTGGTATAGTGAGGCCTAGCAACAAATGCCAATTCTCGTCTTCCCCTTTTCATGGTGACGAACTTTTGTTGTCCAGAATCCTTAAAGATAATGCCTCCCTTTATTTAGATAGCAGAGGGCTTGCTTCTTAGGGTCAGAACATCAACAGTCCTAATCACCAAAGATGAACATCCTGTGGAATGTCTAGATGTTTGCAGATCTTTAAAAAAATTTATTTTTTAGTTGGAGTTTCACTCTACTGTCCAGGCTTGAGTGCAGTGGCATACTCACGGCCACCGCAGCCTCGACCTGCTGGGCTCAGGTTATTCTTCCACCTCAGCCTTTCAAGTAGCTGAAACTACAGGCGCATGCCACCGGGCCTGGCTAATTTTTTGATTTATTGTAGACACGAGGTCTCGCCAAGTTGCCCAGCATGGGCTCGAATCCCTGGGTTTAGGCAAGCCTCTCGCCTCGGCCTCCCAAAGTTCTGGGATTATAGGTGTGAACCACCGCGCCCGGCCTTGATTGCAGATCTTAAGTGAGCAACATGTACCCAACACGATTTGAACATCACAGGTAGGATGTGTGCTGGATGTGAATGTGCAGGGGAGTCTCCATGTGCTTCGACGTGAGTAACTCTTGGTCCTTACTCTAACTGATCCTCATCTGCTGCTCTTTTAAGTCAGTGAGTCAGTTTTCTTGTTCTCAGGAATCCCTCTTGTGGTCCCTAATCAGCTCCTTCTAATCTGCTGTAGGGCTGGAAAGTGGATGGCCCACAATGTTCAAAATAGGTCAAGTGAATGTAGCTGCTGATGGAGGCCGCAAGGGCCCAGTCTGTTTGCACAAGCTCTGGTGCATAAGATCAGCGACTCTGGAGGTGTTTACCGGGTCTGTTGTCATTTGGGGACACAAGGAGCTGTGTTGTGGGAAAGGAGGAGTTTGCATATGAATATCTGTGGAGTCAGCTTTCTCCAGGGCCCTCTTTCATCTTGATAACTCCCTCCTAGGGCCTGAGAAGAGCGCTGGGAACAAGGAGGCTATGGGAGGCAGTAGGAAGAGCTTAGACTGCTGTGGAATTCTGCTCTGCTCTTGTGCTGCCTCTAAGCAGCTGCGGAACAGGCCTCTATCCTCCTCTGAGCCTCAGTTTCCTCATTTGTAAAATCAAGGAATTGACAAGACAAGGTCCTTATGTCCCTCTAGTTCTGAGGCTGTCTCAATTGATAAGTCGGTTTGGTAACACAGAGCCACTTGATTGTTATTTGATCTCTGGGATTTTCCAGGGGAATTGGCTCCTATGTGAAGAGACCCTCCTCTAGGTTTGAGATTCATCTTTCCAGTGCAGCCTGGGTCTCCACCTAGATGTCCCACTGCTCTGGTTTGAATGTCCCCTCTGACACTCATGTTGAAACTAAATCCCCAATGTGGCAGAATTGAGAGGTGGTGCCTTTAAGAGGTGATTGGGTCATGAGGGTTCTGCCTTCATAAATGGATTTATTCATTAATGGATTAATAAATGAATGGATAATGGCCAAATGTGTTGCCACAGGAGCAGACTGGTGGCTTTATAAGAGGAAGGGAGACCAGAGCTGGCGCATGTGATTCTCCGTGCTGTCTTGGGACTCTGCAGAGAGTCCCACCAGCAAGAAGGCCCTCACCAGATATTATTCCCCCTCAACCTTGGACCTCCCTGCCTCCAGAACCATGAGAAATAAGTTTTGTTTCTTACGAACGACCCAGTTTCAAGTAGTAATACATACGCAACAGAAAACGAACTATGACACCCGCCAACAACTCGGACCAGCATCCCTAGACCTGGTTGTCCTGCCTCTCCTGCCAGACTACCTTTCCCTCCTGGTCTACTTCTGCTCATCTTCACCCATTCATCCACAGAGTCTTTCCTGAGTGCTTGTGGTCTGCCTGACAGGATGCTGGGTGCGGTGGAGCCCAAGTCAGTAAGAATAGGCCCTGGGCTCAGGACATGGGAGCCAGAGGGATTAGAGGTTACTCCAGGACGAGAGGGTGAGAGCAATGAAGGAGGAGGGGGTGGGAATCATGGAGGAGGAGCTCCTACCCCAGCCCAGGAGGGAGGGAGTTGGCTAGAGAGTTGGGGGCAGAATCCAGGCAGATTATCATATGCAGAGGTTCAGGACTGGCACAGCATGGCACCCACAGGGGCCTGCAGGCAGTCTGGGTGGCTGGATTCACGTCTTGTGGTGAAGGGCACAGGAGGCCAGACAGATCATGGAGGTCCTGCCAGCCACACTGTGCTGTGACAAGGAGTTGCCAAATGATTTCAAGCCAAGAATGAGTGCGGCCACATTCATTTTTGGAAAGCGAACTCCGGCAGCTGTATGAATGGTGGGCAGAATGGGAGAGCAGAGGCGGGAGGCCGGGCAGAAGGCTTTGCGCTGAGGCAGGGAGAAAGTGGAGGCCAGAAGAGTAGCAGTGGGGGCGGTGAGAAGGGCACTGGGTGAAGAGGGAGAGCAGGCCAGACTTGGAAATGCACCCGCTGTGGAGGTGTGGGCCAGGGAGGAGTCTGGGCAGACTCCAGGACTTTGGCAGGCGGGTGATAATGCACCTGCTGAGATGGAGACTGGGACTTGAACCCTCCTGCTTGTGTTCATGGCACTCTCGCCCCATTCCGCAGCAGGGCTGGGTTTGCTTCCTGTCCTCACCACTCCTCCTCCCTTCGCCACCTTCCTTAGTTTCAGTCAGTTTTCCAGACCTGCTTCTGAACCTTTTGGCTCCACACATAGGCTTAGCATTGGCCCATGGGACATTTGGGGCTCTGGACACCTCAGTCTGCCAAAGGTTCCAGACCCTCCCCGTTCCCCTTCAGAGCCTGTGAGACACTTCCCAGCACCTGGGTCTGGGCCTTCCAGTACCAGGCCTTTCACCTGGCTCCAAGCATGGGGATGGCAGGAACCTGGATTCCCTGTCCTATCCTGCCTGCTTCTAGAATTAGGCATGAGATGGCATTCACTATCCCTAAGCATTGTTTCTGGGTCATCTCTTGCAGGCCAGCCTCTCAGCCTTCTGCGTCTCTGCAGTGGCCCCCGTGGGCTGGAGAGTATCTCACTTGTGGGCATCATCCAGGATGTGTCCTGGTGGGGAATATTTGTAACCCTGATCATAACAACTTCTGAGACCTTGCTCATGAGTTCCATACTAGGTTCCCTAGTTATGACAGACTGCTAGGTTCAAACCCAAATTCCATTTCTTAGAACCCTTTGAACTCTCCATCAAACCTCCTCTAGTCATGTGCAACAACTAACTTTATGTCCTAAAACCAAAATTATCTACCATTTGTTATTACCTTTTATAAACGCGAGGGTTATCTTTTGGTTTCTGTTTTTGTATATTGTCTATAATCCTTATAAAAACCTTGAAGAGAGGGTGGTATAATACTCTTTTTGTAAAGGAGATAAGCAAGAGGTTAAGTGGCTAGCATAAGACAACACAGCTGGCAAGTAGCAGAGATGGAGTTTGAGCTCAGGTTGGTCAGGCTCCACCAGCCCCATCCTCCCCACTGCACCGCAGCGACGTGCTAGAGCTACGGGGCACTCGGCCGGCCCCCATTGGTGGTGCCTGTGTAGGGGTTCCAGGCTGCTGAATGCAATGCTGGGGAGGGGTTACGTGCCACAGACTGGACCAGATGATACCTGAGTTCCTCCAGCCCTGAGATGCTTGCCTGGGAACAGTATGGGTCACACTTTTGTGCAGGTCAGGCTCACTGCCTCTTGCTGAGAGTTTATGGTCCCCTGTAACATGGTCTTCCCCTCCTGTGCAACCACACTGCTGCTCGATCATTTACTCATCTATTCATCCAGCATTTGTCCAACACTGGCCACAGGTGTGGCATAGGGCCCACAGGGATGTATGTGTCAGCCATGATTGAGATGTCTGTGGTTTAGGGTGTCACGTGTGACCACGTGTGATCCTGAGAAAGGGCAGAATTAATCAATGGGACAGAGTTCAGAGGGAAAACAATGCTTCATTATGCCTGGGAGGGTGATTAAAACAGGGAAAGGGGCACTGAAGGCTGTAGACAGAGAAGTGGATGAAGGGAATTCAGGCGCCAGTCTGAGTCTGTGTGGCAGGATCGGAGAGCAGGTGAACTGAGTGGGACGGTTCTCAGCTTTTGGAGGGTGGGCTTTTGGAGGGTGTGCAAGGTGACCGGCTAGGTGGGAGGTGAGCCAGGCTACACAGAGCTTGGAAGCCATGTCTGGAAGCACGTGGCAGGCCTGGGAAGCCGCCGAAGTTTCTGAGCAAGGCAGTGCTGTTTCCCCATGGACAGTGCCCTCTCCTATCAATCCTGTCCCAATTTTAGCTATTCTTAAGGCTCAGCTTAGGGGTCACCTTTTCCAGGAAACTCTCCTGGGTTACTCAGCCCAAATTTTCCCCTTTCTTGGCTCCTGGCCTGTATACGATACTGAACAACTTTGTGTTTACTACTCAGTTTCATGCTGTTCTTCAAAATGGGTCCATTTTATCTCTCTTAAGGTATAAAGTACTTAACCGGAAATTCATGACAGAATCCCACTCTTGGTCTAGTCTCATTTGCATGGCGGCAAAGGACATCCTACATCAGAATGAAGG